TGGATAGAAGAGGTTCGCACCAGCATGCGAGTCCGCCATGTTGGACCCACAGACCGGGCTGCTTTCATTTTTGACCATCTTGAAGGTGAAGCTAGAGATGAGATCAAGTATAGATCGTCAGCTGAACGTGAGGATCCAGAAACTGTTTTCACCATTTTAAGAGAACTGTATGGTTGCCAGCAGTCTTATGTTACACTGCAGGAGGACTTCTTTTCAAGGAGGCAGTTAGATGGTGAATCGTTGCAGGAATTTTATCATTCATTGTTTTGCTTGATGGACAAAGTTAAATCAAATTCTCCTCATGCTATGGCAAATGCAGACATTCTACTTCGTGATCAATTTGTTCAAAATGTTAGTAATTCTGACCTGCGTAGAGAGCTAAAACGCTATGCTCGTGATAATCCGAGGTGTACATTACTGGAGGTTAGAGCTGAAGCCATTACATGGGAGCGTGAGGGTGGGGTGGAAAATAAAAGTAGTGGAAATCCCTCTTTTTGTGCTGTACAGAGTGCCAGTGGGTCCCCTTCCCTAATTGACTCTTCCTCCAGTTCTGTTGCCTCTCAACTTGCTACTCTTACTGCAATTGTACAAAAACAGCAGGAACAGTTGGATCAGATTACTCAATCCCTTGCAGTTATGCAGCAGTCTCCTGTGGCTAGGCCTTTTAGTGCTAATAGTGTGATTTGTCACAAATGTCAGCAACCAGGCCATATTGCTCGGTATTGTACCGCTCGTGGCCGTTTTAAGCCCCAACGCGTAAATGATGCCCCTCAGGTCCAAGCCACCAATAGTTCTCAGGTGCAGGAAAACTAACTCCCCCTAGTGTTAGGAGCCAGACATTAGGAGGGGGTGGTTTAGGCTCAGTGGGTCCCCAAATAGATGAGGTGAAGGAGTGTTTAATTGCACCTTGTCCCCAAGTCACTGTAAAACTATCAGGTGTTCCGGTCCAGTGTATTATTGACACTGGTTCGATGGTTTCTACCATTTCAGAAAGCTTCTTTAAAAAGCATTTCCCAGATAAGTTAAAGGTATGCCATTGGTTAGAGTTGAGAGCTGCAAATGGTTTGAGTATTCCTTATTTGGGTTATCTTGAGCCTGACATTGAGGTGTGTGGGGTGGTAATCCCCAGAAGAGGGATCCTTGTTGTTAGGGACCCTCCATGTCAGGCCAGTTTACCTCAGATACCAGGCATAATTGGGATGAATATAATAAAGGCCTACTATCTGCAGCTATTTGACCAGTATGGCCCGGATTTGTTTAAACTCCCTTTTGTTTTGGGGGCCCCTACTTCCTGGCTTCCGGCCTTTCAGTTATGTCAGCAGGCTGAGGTTCAAAAGGGTCATATTCAAACCTGTGTTACAAAGCTTCGGGGTAGAAGGCCTGTTGTAGTTCCTGCAGGCTCTACTAAATTTGTACCTGCCACTGTTCAGCCATGTTGGCACAGGCTGGGGCAGCATTAATTGAACCTTTAAATGTGGAGTTTGGCTTACCTGAGGGTTTGTTAGTGTCCCCTTCCCTTTTGCAGATTTTTCGGGGCACTGTTTATGTTCCGGTGGTGAATGTGGGGGTGTGTACGGTCACGCTAAGACCCCGTTGTGCTCTGGGTGTTGTGTCTACAGTAGAAGTTGTCAGCCTACCGTCAGAGTTGCAGGAAGTTCCTTGTGTGCAGGAGCAAGTTGTGGCTGCAGTCAGGTCCCATACTGCTGAGACTGGCTCAGTTGGGGAGAAGATAACATCAATTAATCTCTCTATGCTGAGTAGAGAAGAGCAGCATAAAGTGAGAACGTTGTTGCTAAAGTA